TATCCACTTCAAAGAGTCAAAGAGAGGAAGAATATAGCCTTCGGTCATTAGAGTTGTGATTAGAGTATCACTTAGAGATATTCATCCCTTGTGTTAGGTGGAGGCTAGTTCGAGATCGGGAGCGGGGGTCTTTACTTGCTGCTGGTCAGGTGAGTCTTCTCACTATACTTTACCTAGAGGGTAGTTAGAGTTATATGACAGAGTATCTGTATGCTATTTATTGTGATTGTGATGCACTGCATATTTCTACGACTGATTTATGCTGTGTATGTTCCAGAGTTTACAAAGTTAGAACCGGAAGGTTCACGAGAGTAGGACCAGGAGGGTCCACAGAGTTAGGACCAGAGGGTCCACAGAGTTATAGCCTCGAGTGGCTAATATGTGTTATATGTGGTATTTTGGGGAACTCACTAAGCTTCGTGCTTACCGTGTTATGTGTTATGTGTTTCACGTACCTCAGAGGATCGCGGGAAGGCACCGACTTGATTGTACACACCAGAGAAAGAGTCACGTTTTGAGGATCCTCGCTTATTAATGGAGTTGTGTTTTGTAATTTGAATAAACGAGATTTCTATACAATATGTTACGAAAAGTATGCGATTTTAAAATGAAAATTTTGTTTGAAAAATTACGGTGTTACAGATTTAACCTAGATTTTGAAAAGTTTCAAATTACACCCTTTTGGTTTTATAGTTTGAATTTGAAATTAAAACTTTTAATTTTTGGAAATTTAATGGTTAAACCCTAGTAGTTTAAATTGTTTGAAATTACACCCTCATGGATTTTATTAAATTAATTAATTGGTTAATTAAAATAGAGAATTAATAAATCCATAACATGGTTTAAATTTAATTAAATTAAAAGTCTAATTTATTAAAGGATTAAACCACTTAGTATTTTAAAAGTTTAATATACACCCCTATATTATATAAAATTAAGAGTCTAATATATTATATGTATAAGAGAAAATTCAGTCTTACCGTTAGTAGGCCTCATTCACGAAGCTAGTCTATTAGGGGTGTTTAAGGAAGCGGTCTGTAAAATGACCGTCATTGGGTATCCACTCTTACCCCCCGCACCCTGGACTAGTGGAGGGTCGTTAGCCGAATGGGTTTGATAGGACATTAAATCTCATTAAAAGTATAATGAAAATACCAAGTAACTAAATGCTTTTATAAATTCCCAAATCTTAGTTACTTTAGGAAAATGTGAATTTGATGCTAATCCATGAAATTATGCATTGCACCTTATTGGCCAGTTAGTGGAGCGTGTGTGGTTAGTCGGCACACTAATGTGGACTAATGAAGGATGGCAATGGGTAGCTCGTAAATTATCATAGATCGATGGAGCGTGTGTGGCTAAACCGACACATTGATTAGGTGATAAATGACATCGAGAGTGCCAAGCTAATTTGCATGGTTATTCACACCTTGTTTGTGATCCTCGGTATCCCAGTCACAAACTTGAAGGGCATAATCGAGATTATACATGCCATTGAAAAGTTCAATGAATCTCAAAAGATCTAGGAATTTCATCTAAAACCTAATTCGTTAAAATTTTGTTTTCGTGGTGGAATTGGTAAATTGTCATTTACCTACCTTCAAATAATTTGGAATTGGATTACGACAACACTCTTCTGAATTGTAAATTATTGTGTTGGTTCCTAGCCTTAATATTTCACTTGGGTGTTATATTATGGATTAAATCAACTAACTTGAATTTTCTCCCTTGTAGATGTCTACTTCTGACAACTATGGTCTTCCTTATCCTTTTGGAAAAGGCTTTCCATATGAAGATGATCTTCCACGTGTCGATCAAGGTGAAAGGTCGTTACCTTCTTCGTGCGTTGGTGGAACTGGAAATCATACTTCTCTTCCTCCACCTCCTCCAGTGATTCTCCCTGACCCACGTTTTGTTCGACTTGAAAAGTTCAAGGTCACTCAAGCCCTATTGGCATGTAAGCATCGAGATGGAAGTCCTGTGTGCACACGTTCTGAAGATGAAGTTGCACATTGACAGACTGGGAATGTTGGGTGTCGTTTTCCCAATGAAGTTGGCTGTTGACTTAGTTCTTCAATCACTTCCTGAGTCGTATAGTCAGTTCGTGAAGGACTACTATATGACAGACCATGACGTGACCCTTATTAATCTGACATATTTGCTAATTGCTGCTGAATCAACAATGATTTGGCGCACTGGTAAAGCAAAATTGATTGGAAGATCTACCTCCCAAATTTCCATGGGCGTAAGCGATGACAATGATAGTCCAGAAATGATCTCTTCTCCTAAGAGAGAGATTGGCCAAGGTCAAAAAGTTTGATCATAAGAGAAAGGCCAATTGTGAGATAGTTTCATGCGCCGATGCAAAAGAAGCCATATGTTTCTACTGCCATTTGAAGGGACATTGGAAGCGAAGCTGCCCTGACTACCTGAGAGATCTAAGAGATGGTAAAGTCAAATTGTATGACTCTACTTCAGGTACATCCACTATTTAACTCTATTAAGTTCCTATTTATAGATTCTTATTACATGATGTAAAGTTGCATTTTGATGTTTTGCAGAATCTAAAAGAAAGAAGGAAGTTTAGAAGAAGAGTAAGCTGAGTCTGATCGTGAAGAGATGGATTTCGATCGCATGGTTCGATGATCAGATTCTTGAAGCTGCTGCTTAGGAGTTATGATAGATTTCTTGGAAATATTTAGGAACATAGTTTTCATATGAATTTGCATTGTAAGGACAAGTTTTCCGCATTTTATAAATAAATATTTTTGTTTGATTTTCTTATTTTATGTTTCCTTGCAATAGCATTTGTGAAAATTGGTGTTTATATATATTATTAGCAATGTTGAAAAATGGATTTTGTTCTTAGTTATATCGTTTGTGGTAGTGTCTCAATTTACCAAGTGAGGAAGGATTCTCATCACCCAAGTTTCAATTGGACAGAAACTTGGAATCATACAACTAATTGTGTGATGTATGAAAATCTTGATCCTTGGGAAATTAGGATTGATTCATTGTTCACATATGTATGTGAGTCAAGTGAAGGACTAAAGGATCTAGTACACATTGATGTCAACTGGTCAAATCCACCACAAAGAATGATAAGTCTATTCGTCACAATTTATTGTTGGTTCAATAAATATGGTTATACTTACAAGATTAAGTGTAATTTCGATACCTTGAAAAGTTTCAAAGTATAGCAAAGCGAATAAGAAGAATCAAATTGGGCAGAAAGATAAAAGTTTCTCCAATCTGAAAGGAAAGGAGAGTACTTTAGTATCGTGTTTTATGATCATCCTAATGATTATGGAACCATGTCACGATTGATCCTCTAAGGACACCTTAGTGCATTTACATGACTGAGAAGAGGAATCAGGAATTGTTGAAATGGTTAAATCGAGAAGATGAGTCATACTTCGTTCCAAAATCGAGTATTAGAGTTACACTCTAGTTACTTCATGTTGTACCTTGAGTAACATCTTCTAAGTAGGTTTATAACACCTCATGAAATGTGGAGTAGAAAAGTTTTCTTACTCTTGCACATTTGAAATTGATAGTTGTGATGTTTTGACTAAAACAGAGACCAACTAAGACCAATTATATGAAGTGTTTCTTGATAAGAACTTGCACTAACTCTTGAATATTTGTTTGTCAAGGAATGTTCCTTGACAGAGAATCTTATATGTCAAGAGGTCAATGAGAGTCTTAATGGTCTTGAATAGTTTCAGGAACTAATCAAGAATAAACCTTTTAGTTGTCACTAGCACACGACCAGAGGTTTACAACCTATTGTGTTTACATATTCTTGTTTATGTGCATATTCCAGTTAAGTTGACTACGCGTGTGAGTTCTATGAGTTCTCATTTGATTGCATAAGGCAAAGCACCTACTTAATGAAAGTACATTGATCTGTATGGATGAGCTGTTCAATGACCTGGAAGCACTGGTAGGCCTCTTGTGCTGCCAAATGGGAAGAAATTAAGAATAAGTAAGTTCAGTCCATATGAGTTTGAATTTGTCATGAACCTTGTCTTGTGATAGTGGTTGGAAATGACAAATTCATACAGATAGGAACACATACACCATAAAATATAAGTGGAAAGAGGTTTCTCTCTACTTCATGAAAATGATTGTGAGGAAACGCTTTCGCCAGTAGATTTTAGTTAGCAGTTGTGATAATTGCATCCTCAAATTAGAGTATGATTACGGAATCCCTCTTCATAGTTCGAATTGGGAGAATTGGCAAATAGTTTGAACATTTAGGACTTATTGCTATCAGTTTTGAAAGGGTTTAGACAGACACGTGAGATATTTAATGAAAGGTGTATGAGCTTGAGAAGTCTAGATAAAGACTTATCGAAGCACCACGTATCAGAAATCTGAACTTTGGTAGGGAACTCAATAGGCATTGATTTCTAGAAGTCCAGCTGATTTCTGGGTACGTGTCAAAGTTAGTGGGAGCATAATTGTTATGCTAGAAAGAACATAATTATTATGCTAGTGGGAGCATGATTTTTATGTTGAGTGTTGCAAGTTAGTGATGCTATTTATAGGAAACAAAGGTTACAAATTTGCAAAGTTACAAAGTTTGGAAATTGTTTCGCTATAGTAAGATTTAAGGGAGAGGATACTTGTACTTAATTTCGAATCTAAAAGTTTATATTGAAATTTTTTAATAGAACTTAGTCATAGACATATATGAATATTATGTTGAAATGATTCAACATAGGAAATTCGATATGTGGAAATATTATAGCAAAAGACTGGTCAAGTATCATGTCTTTATGTAAGACATTATGAGTCGTATCCCATATACTTCGGGTATAGGATCGATTGCATATGCTGTAACATTCGCCTGTTTTGATTTTCCAAATGCCTAGGGCATTAAGAGGGAAATAGGACCAGAACTTGATATGACTAACGTTGTTAAACAACTATCAAGGACAATCTGAGGTTTACCAAAGATTGGTTGCTTGTGGACAGTTGGAAGTATCGTATAATCATGAAAGGGCCATATAGACATGTTCTGAGTAGAGGTAACTCTTGTTCAGAATTGATAGTCATATGGGAATATGGAAATGTTTCCATAAGTGGAAGTTGGTTATAAAATCTGTGAGTAAGATTAGAAACTTTAATGCAAGAAGGATGTTCAAGGAATGCTCCTTGAATGTGAGACTTCATCTCCATGGAATTGTTCTGTAACAAATACAGGACATTCTTACCTTTCAGCTCTCCAGGGTACTTTTCTTTCATGTCCACACAGGCTTGATGGAGGCCAAGCTGGATAGCGGATGTCTGTAAGGCGGAATTCATGGCACCAAAGTCGCTTGAATCTAACAAAGCCCAAACAAAGATGGCGATACATTCCTTTATGACCAATCGCATCTCCTCAGCCTTTTGATCCGCTCCCATCTGGCAACTTGCTATATTCTGCTCCATCAAAAGTTGTGGGTCACTCAAAGTGGCAAATCGAGCATCCTTCTCCAACATCATGAGTTTCGCCACGACTAAGTCCTCCTCTAGCAACTTAATACAAACATCCTTGTTAGAACAGGCGATTTCCAACTGAGAAACCTTCTCCATATATTGCGACTTATGTGAATGGTACTGCTGAGAAACACCCTCGAGTTCCTTGACGGCAGATGCGCGGTGGCTCATGGCATCATCTAATTTCAGTTGCAAATCTTGACTCAACTTTTTCAACTCCTCCTGCTGACCAACGGTCTGACTCAAATCTATCACTAAACTTTGGTTTCTCTCTGACAAACCAACTACCTCTTCCCTCAATCCCTTAGCTTCTTTTTTCGTTAGCTCGTGAAGGATCCGAAGTTGCTTCAACTCTTCCAAGGCTTCATCAAATACGATTTGAAGTTGAGCAAGCTCGTCTGAATGTGCCTTTGTGCGTACGGGCACTTCATTCAACAAGTGCATTCCTTCCATCAAGCATGATTGAGCCTTATCTAACGCTTCTTCATCAGACGCAACCCACGTTTCAAAAGGGCTATTGGCAACACTTGTCACGAAAAAAGGATGTTGGAACCGGGGAAGTGAAGCAGCAAGAGTAACCAGTGTCGACATTATGGCCTCCTTCCTTGTAATAACAATAGCTGCATAGTCAATAAGCAAGTGAATTGCAACAAAGATCTAAAGAACAAAAAAAGGAAAGCAAACGGCCTGACGCAAGAGGAGGGTTCGGGATACTAGCTTCCATATCTACATATTCAATCCCTACAGGCTCTTCATTCCCAGTCTTGGTATCGAAGGAAATGGGAATAAGAACAACTACCGAAGTTTCGATGGTCGATGCCATGAAACGACCAAGTCTAGACCCAAAGAGTTTTTGTTGGAACACAACCGCAGCAGACAGACCGTTGGGGTTTTCTGTCTCCGAAAGGGGATCTTCAGGAATCTTCTCCGAGAGGCCTCCAGCAATGGTCTCCGATTCCGGTTTGACGAATGAGAAACCTCTACCTCCTCCTCCACATGCTTCATTTCACTACCTGGTTCAATTGGACATTCGTGAAAAACAGTAGTAACAGGATCCTCCGAGGTATGCTCAGAGTTTGTAGCATCAGGAGCCGGGTGGATCAGATAGATCATTCAGGCTTCCCCTTTTTTATTCACGACCAGAATGCTTCCGTTGGGGGGGGGGACATTTTGATGAATTGATCGTCTTGAGCACTCTCAGAGCGCCTCTTTAGGATGAACCCTTTCGAGTTAGCCCTTGTAAACACTGTAGGAGGCTTGCCAAAATCGAAATCCAATTTCACACCCTTCGAGCGAAGATTAGGAGGAATAGGTCTAGAGCCCTATGATTGAGAAACATCTAGGGCCGAGTCCATGCTAGACTCTGACCTAGTTGGGGAATCTGGCTCCATCACCTCCTCCGTCACTAGGGTGGAGTTTGCAATTTGTTTCCGATGAAGTCGGTCAAGAATGGTTATATTTTTCCCTCGAACATCTCCACTGGCTACGTACCCAAACGGTTCTAATGGGGAATCATGCCAGCCATAGACATCACCGCCTCGTTGGGGTTCGCCCATCGGACAAAATTATCCGATAACCTCTTCGTTATCGATTGCTCGTCGGGTGATAGTTCCGGGATGGGGTCGGTGACCCTGTCAGCGGTAGCACCGTACGCCTTGGGGCATGAGAAAGCAGAGGCATGAACAAAAAATAACTCCTCCTTACAATACTTTATGGAGGTTGGAAGACCATCACAAATATCCACCAAACCATGGATAATGGAAAAAGAAACCTAATCTCCGTTAGACATCGGAATAGAAATGGCCAAACAGATTGATGGCCGACGACACATCCAGAGTGACACATAGCAGGGTGAAGCAGAGAATCTTGCGAAAGCCGTTAGGGGTTATTAGGGCAATGTGCAGACCATAATAATCCAAAGCAGTTTCTAGAAAATCGAAAGCAGGAAGACGCAGTCCAGATTTGAAGAATACTAGGTAAACCCCCACTAAGCCTTCAGGGGCGTCAGTGATGGCCTCGTTGGCCTCCGGCAGACGAGGATGGAACTGGGGATCAATATCATACTTCCGAACGAGCATACCCATGGTTCGAACGGTCAACTTGGATTTCACCGTCCTAATGTGAGAAATCCCAGTGCTTGCCATATTCAGAAAAGAAGAAAGAGATGAGAGAAAAAGTCGACAGAAGAAGGAAACTGACTCTAACTTAAATAGTGAGTGGTGAAACGGATGATTCAATACCAAATATTTATAGTAAGTCTAGAACGTATGAAGATTAACGGGTAGAAAATATGGTTGGTGGATACTGTACCCCTATTAAAGAAAAGGCAGTTGAAAAGACGGTTATAGGGATCATCATTAGGACTGGCATAACCATCAACACGTCATGTCAGAGTTAATTCAGGAGTTTTTCGCCCCTATCCGATTATAACGGCTATAATGTCATTTCTTCCAAAGTTTGCATCCCTACTCCACCGATTACGTAGAGATACAAACTAGGGGGACTTAATATTATATATCCTGGAAATACCTATATCCATCCCAAATATACCGAACCAGCATGTTGCAAGGTCACTCGAAGTTACCTGCCCCACACGTCTCGAAGTTGCTCACCTACATACCGAACTGGCACGACAACTCGAAAGGAAAGGAAAGAACAAGTACAAAGTGTTGGATTTGGTGTCTAAGCCCATAACTATAATTGGGATGTACTTGACCCGAATGTAGCATGGTCCTTTTTGGGTTGCCTTCACCAGTGCAATTTGATAGGATGGATTTTGAGAATAAGGTTATTTATGGTTTATTAATATATTACAAGTATAATATGTTAATATAAAATCATATTATTTAATTAGTATTGATCAAGAATTAATTTGGAATTAATTTTGTGGTCAAAATAGACTAATTAAATATATGGGGATTGATTATGTAAATCAATGATTCTTGTAGTGTGGGCCAATGATCCATGATTATGTAGATGGGCTAAACTAATCCATGGATAGTCCATGGAGGTTAAATCCATGGAGCTTGAGAATGTGGAAAGTCATGGGTCATTAGGGTTTAGAAAGTGTAACCCTAGCATGTGCAACACTATAAATAAGCCCCTCCTAGATCCAAAATCGGTTGCCACTTACTTTCCAAGAGGGTGAAGTTGATTTTGTGCTAGTAGCCTATTCTCTCAAGCCTCCACTTGAATATTAGTGTTTGTGAACCAATAGAGGCATCACACTTGAGGTGCTCAAGCTTTCAAAGGTCAAGAACTACAAGTCCTTCTAAGAGGTAAGTCATCTAACTAGTTGTATCATTCAATTGTTCAAATGTATGCTACTTAGGACAATGCTTTGGAAAATTGAAAATATGCATGTATAATTAGAGAAAACATAGATCCAAAGCATTTAGGGTTGCATGTGCACCATAGGAGTGTTATAGTGCTCAAAACCCAACAGTGGTATCAAAGCCTAGAATTGTTTTCTGTTATACTTGATGCTTGTTAGTTTCCAAGTTGAAAAAATCAAATTTTTTGCATCTGACTGATGGACTCGCCGAGTCCACTGGCTGACTCGCCGAGTCCACTCAGAAACAGAGCAACTCGACGAGTCAATTCATGCACTCGACGAGTTGCAGGCTCTGGTTGTAGAAATTCGAGGTTTTTGGCCAGAATTGGATTAGGATCGTTAACACAAACCGTTTTGAATCATAAAATCTGTTTTTTCTGATATGGTGGTGATCATTCTCATCCAATCACAAGATAATTGTCAAAGTTTTAGGATAATTGTTGATTTATGTGATAAAAAAAGTTGCTTGCAAATTGTTGACTTGATATTATTTTGTTTATGAGTTTAGCTAGATCAATCTAGAATCATATGATAATTTTAGTTGTTGTAAATTGATCTAAATAAATTTTAATGACCTCCATAACTTTTCCTCAAGTTATGGAAAATGAAAAGTCTCATACATTAAAATGACATTAAACTCATAAGTTATGGAAAATGAAAGGACAATTGTCAAATATTAAGATAATAAGTTAATTATTTGTTTTATTTGATATGAATTGTTTTGCCTTATGAGTTAGTTTAGATCATGATTAAAATTATGTGATAATTTTCCTTGTTAGACTTGATCTAAATGTTTTTTAATGAGTTCCATAACTTGTCTTCAAGTTATGGAACATGAAAAGTCTTATAAAAAAGGTTTTAAATGAACTCCATAACTTGTCCTCAAGTTATGGAAAGTCAAGAGTCTTTTCATAAAACTAACATTAAACTCATAAGTAATAGAATTGGAGAGTTTTGACAAGTTTCGAAACTTGCCCTCAAGTTTTGGAATTTGTAAAGTCTCACTAATGAAACTTTAATTCCAAACCCTAGAGTTTTAAAAGTTAAAATTCAACCCTTATACTTTATAATATTATAAGTTTAATAATATATATATATATATATATATATATATATATATAGGCTTACGTTATTCTATTCAAAGTAATTATTGTGTTATTGTATGCATAAATGTGGGTCAAGCATTTTTGGTAAATTAAGAACGTGATTATTGTGTTATTGTATGCATAAATAGGTAACATTCAGTTCCTTAATTTACCAAAAATTTACAAATTAGGAAACACAAGTTTAATTAATAAAAAGTTTTGAATTTTCAGATATATTTGATTTTCTTAATTTTGAATTTTCATTTTTTTAATTAATTAGATTATAATTCTAAGATAATTCTGTTAGAATGATATTCTATGAGAATGTCAGATTATCTATTCTGACAAAATAAATGTTTTGAATGAATGAATATTTTGAAGACAAACAATAGTTTTGAATCATCAGTTTAAAAATAACTTTAAAAACTTCTTGGAGAATAACAAATTCTTGAACCATCAATTGAAGAATAAAAACAAACATTACATTAATTCTTATAGAATACGGGAAACAATTGCTAAGAAATACATTTATTGTTAAAGAATAAACCTAAAAAAACTTTCAAATCGGGAAAGAAAACATCAAAATCTAACAACGACTAATACATTTTAAAAGAATAATGTGGTCCGTTTCAATTTTGTGGTCCGTTCTTCAAGCATCAACTTCTGTGATTCCAACAGAATTGGAATTCGTGATTCCATTCCAACAGAATTGGATTTCGTATCTTACCTAACCAATTGAAAATAAAATCATATTCCCCAGCATAAACAAGCATCTGAATACCATCTTCCAAAAGCACTGGAATCCCAACTTCAAGGTTTCTCATAATGTCTTCCTTCATTGCTCGATACACCTCACCATTACACGCCCCAAAGTGTATTTCCTCTGGTACCCCTAATGCCTTTTTCACTGATTCCAAGTTCAAGAATTCATCTATCTTTGACAAGTCATCACATTTTTGCTTCCTCAAATCATAAGGCTGTTATACAACAATTGTTTCTATTACATATGAATTACACTTCCAATTATGATTGTAGGATATTTATTCGCTTAGTTACACATATATTGCTAACAAACAAAATCTTGGAGTGAATTTCCCCACATATGCTCAGGGCATCAAGGCAATTGTCTTTACCATTTATCCCTAAAAAACCAGAACACCTCTCAAGTATATATACAACATTAACGAAAATATAACAAGCTTAAATAATGAAATTACCGCATTTGTTTGCTGCTTCTTCACACTTTGGTACTATTTGAATCAATTCATTGTAATATTTTTTTTGTAATTAACTGATTTTCCAAAGCGAAATCAACATCCGCCTTGAATTGGATTCCAGGTTCAGTGAGTCCGTTTCCAATTGCAAATCCCTATCCAGTTAATCATAATTCCATGAGCAAAATTGAAAATCTTAAAAGTGATAGAAGATTGTAATCAACACCACCTGCAAAGGCGTCCCACGTGAACCCCATCAATAAAGTAAATAAAGGTGTTTGTAGAACTGAATATTCAAAGCGAATTCTACTTTCCATTGTAAGCTAGGTGGGCAAGCACTTTTTTCTTTGAGAAAAAGTGGCGAAGCATTGAAAATCGATTTCAGATTTCAACTTCAGTTTCAGAAAAATCGATTTCATAGATTGAGCAGAGAAACTTACTAATTTTCTAGAGGAGGGGCGGCGTTGGCGGAAAGGCAACGACTGTTGCTAGAGAGAAACGTCGATCCCCAAATAAAGGGAAAAAACACGAGTATGTTACCTGTTGAAGATGAACGATGGTGTTTGATGGTGTTCGGTGGCGATGGTGGCTCGGTGGTGGCTGATGGTGTTGGTCGGAAAACGGGCAAGCTCCAGCCTCTTATCTTCTTTAATCATCGGCATCAGTTTGGTTGAAAAAGAAGGGATGGATCGGTGATAAAGAAGCAATAACGCTTTCAAGGGATTTAAAGGAAAGCAATCCAATATTTTAGGGATTAATTAAATTTTTATTTAATTAACAAAATTAATTAATAGGTAAGATTATATATCCTTATTTAAGTTTTTGAAATGATTGACCCACATTTATGCATACAATAACACAATACTTACTTTAAACACCTGAACCTATCTCTCCCCCTCTCTCTCTCTCTCTCTCTCTATATATATATATATATATATATATATATATATATATATATATATATATATATATATGTATAAGACAAGTCAGTCTTACCGTTAGTAGGCCTCATTCATGAAGTCGGTCTATAAGGGGGGTATAAGGTTATTGCCTATAAAATGGTAGTTTAATGGGTGTCCACTCTCACCCACCACTTCCTTGACTGGTGGAGGGTCATTAGCCGAACGGGTAGGATAGGACATTAATTCTCCCTCATTAAAAGTATAATGATAAATATAAAGTAACTAAACTTTTATTAAATTCCCAATCTTAGTTACTTTAGGAAAATGTGAAATGGTGGTAATCCATGAAATTACACTTTGCACCTTGTTAAGTCGTTAGTGGAGTATGTGTGGTTAACTGGCACACTAATCTGGGACTGACAATGTGTGGCAAAGGGTAGCTTGATGTTAATCATAGATCAATGGAGCGTGTGTGGTTAACCGGCACATTGATTAGGTGATTTGTAACATTGAGTGTACCAAGCTAATTTGCATGGTTATTCACACCTTGTTTGTGATCCTCGGCATCCCAGTCACAAACTTGAAGGGCACAATCGAGATTTAAACATG